CAGGTCAAACCAGTCAAAGCCGCCCCATGTCGTGTACCATCGAGTTCAGCGACGCCTTGCTCCCATTTCCATCCTGGTAGGTACTGAACATGGGGGTCTGAGTCATCGACAAGGGTAGGCGAAGGAGTGGTAGACATCGAACTCGCTGGGGAGGCTAGTGGAGATGAACAAGCACCAAAGCATTTTGTGTCCCGATAGCTGCGTGAGTTCGAGAGACGCGGACGTCAGCGTGCCTGATGAATGATTGCAGCATCCTGGCGTGAGGAGAACTTTCTTTAGAACACCAGGCGTACTTCCTCGATGATCCGCTTGTAGGTCAAGCGGTCCGGACAATTCGCGGCGAGGGCGGTATGCGTACGCACCTGCGAACCAACCAAGGGACTTCCAGTAATTGCTTGAGCATACCCTCGTTCACCACGACTGACGCCTCTGCGAGAGTGTGAGGATACGGGCTGAAGTTTCTCAGATCTTTCCTGAACCTACCTCGTCTGCTCTATCAGCAGGCTGTGCACCAAGCGCGAGAGGCCGGCGTGGGAAGGGGATATACGACGCCTTGTGGGAGTACCGCATGCGTTTAGCTCGACATCATGATGGACAATGCCTAAATCCGTCAAGTGACGCACATGCATCAATTTGACCAATGAGAGAGCCAGGTGATCGTTCACGAGCCTTTCTGACCATCTAATCGCAGAAATGTTAGAACACGTTCAATACTGTTAGCGTGCTCTACAGGGATTCAAGGCCCTAGATATGCCTGACGCTCTGTCACAGAGTCCTGAGGACTCGCCGCACGCGCGTACCCCGGGCGAGATCCTCAGATATGCGATAGGCACTGTGAGCGTAGCAGTGTTTACAAAGTGTTCTTTGGCCACATTGAAACGAACTCTAGCAGAGGTCAGTCGAGCTATCCTGATGTACTTATTCAGATGGTATCAACCGGGGTAGGCCTTGAGTTTGCCACTAAGTTCGCGCCCCACTAGACGATAGACCACGAGCCGAGTTTCACCAGTGGATGCAACCGAAGCGGGGACTCACCTGTTGGAGCCATGGCGACGAAGACCTGCACTAGTGAGGAGTGACGAGCGTGTGTTCAGAGGCGTGATGCTCTGGGTCAATAGGAAGCTCAGAAAAGCGACCGACAGTCAGAACGAGAACGGCGAAAATCCGGGGTCGCGGAGGGAGGTGAGGCTTGCGAAAGCTTCAAGTGTCTCCTACCTGAACGGTCGAAGCGCCACCTTGAACGCGGGTCGAGTCAGTTCGAAACATGAGCAACCACGTCAACCACAAGCTGTGTATCGCGCAAACGGCAGCGCCCTCTGTGGTACGCATAGCGTCGGGGTTTGTGGTCGGGGACTGCGCGAAGAGCAACTTAAAGCGGGCATCGCAGAGACACAGACAACCACTCACTGACGCAGAGCATTCGAGGCGCAGCATATTGGTTCCGCGAGCGTCCCTGGCTTCGAGTTAGCGCGGTCGCAGGTCAGGGGTCGGATGGTTTTCGGCGAGTCGCACGAATGCGGCGTCTCGCTCAGAATCTGGCGGGAGCGAGTGCAAAGCGCGCATGACAGACAGGACTTCGACGAATGCATGTTTTTGAGCTTCAATGGCCGGGCTGTAGGATGCTGTGAAGGTAAAATTACCGGCAGAGGATCGTCCACATCGGCGCAACCAACGACGACGACGACATAGACAGATGTATGAAGCTAGCATATCGGGGGAAAAATCGCCGAGTAGTGGTTCCCATCTGCCTGTCAGCGGACTCTTGCGCAAGTTCGTAGCTTCCATGTTGATGGTGAGAGGTACGTATAGAGCTTCCGATGGTCTCAAAGGTGGCATATCATGGCTTCTTGACCGTAATTCCCTGATGGGTGGTCTCGTGCGAAACCTCAGAGAAGACAAATATCAATGTAGCGGACAGGCGTCGGTGTGTATGCGGCCGATGCCTACCAGTCTACAATGCACCCTCCTGGGCAGTATGTTCTTGGCCAAAGCTGATACTGGCCTTCTTTGCGCGGCTCCTCGAGCGTGCCGTGCCACAAATATCACAATGCGGAACCGAATCATTCCCATTACCTGTCAAGCAAACCACTGTCAGATAACAGTACAAGACTGCCGCGCTCACAACGTAAGCGTCCGCTTCATAGAGCCAAGGGAACGTACCGTTGGCTTGTACGGACCTACATCAACATTGAGTTGCGTACCTATTGATTGTAACCGATGATGTGTTGGTAGGATAACAAGTGGACCGTTGGCATCCAGTCGTACGTGCCGATGCCATCCACAGGCACTCGGCGGTCAAAGTGGCCCCGTTGTTGTATTTGCGGTAGAGGCCACCTACAACGATGGTCTGATTTCGTGAACTGGATACGTTGCAGTACAACCATGTTTACCGCTGGCCAAGTGCCAGTGTGTACGCGAAGCCCGGGGCACCCCGATGCGGATGGTTCAGCTTGCGTGGCGGAGGCAGAGCAGAGGCGGTACTGATACGGGCGTCTGTAGCGCGCTACTTGGGCGCCAAATGCCACCCAGCACCCAGTCCCGACGCACCTGTGTCTCGAAGTTTACTCCGTCCACATAGCATGGTTCCCTGGACCCTAGGCTCTCTGAACATCTACCTAAGCCTATGAATCTCGTCTCTCCAGCTATGTCACGTCCAAAGTACAAAGAATAGTGCTCACTGCAAGTTGCCTCTAAGTACCTGAACTGGGTGGCTGGCTCTGCTCGTCGATACCTATTACCCTGGCTAGGTCCGGCACAATACCCTGTCAGAGCCTCAGCCATTGTTTCCACATCGAGGGCGTAGGACGCGTCCATGAAACCGGCGCAACGAACTGCGGACACCGCTGCTCGTTTCCCCCTGCCACTGGGAGTATTGTTCCCGCCATAGTAACCTTGAATTTCAAACTCTAGATCTGCTGAAGGCTGAAGCCCGCCTTCGACGGACGCGCTGAGCCCCCATCATCATCCCGCCCATCAAGGTAAGACGTTGATCCTTATCCGCGACTATCATTGGTGCTCTCTAGCCAGCTACTGTCGGGAAGTGAATATTCTTTTGCTTCCAGACCACAATTTGAATCTCCTTTGTCTTGTGCTACCTTGCTCGCATTCTCCGACTGATACAATGTCGCCATGATGCCACGCAGGGGCCGACCCTGAGTCACAGCGTCGTGAGCCCCCGAATCCGATATATTGCGCGCACGAGAGTTTGCCCCGTTGCTGTGCACACCGACTTTCCCGATTCCCTCTTCTTGCGCCTTCCCCTCCGCACTGCCAGTCTGTCGGGGGATCCCAAGTCCCTACCTGGAGTAGTTCTTGATTCGTCCATTCGCGAGGCTGGACTAGGTGCGGTACCGCCAGTCTATCGTCCAAACGCCATACAGGCACACACTCTACTTCCTATAAAAGGTCGCACTTTCGTCGTTCAGGACATCCACCAACTCTTTGCTCTCAATCACCACGAACAATGTCTGCACCATACGGCTACCAGCAGTTCTACTACCCAACGCCCTATATCTATCCTTACATTCATCAGACCTACGTCTCTCCGTTCATCCCTCCGGTGACACTCCCAGCATCTCCCCAGCTTCAACCTCGGGATGACCGGCGGGTACACTGGGACGATGAACCCTACGTTCGTCAGCGACGGCCCTCCTGGCACGGTGGCCTTGCACCACCACCGACCTCGGTCCCCTTCCCCTCCCCTCCGGTGATGGTCACGGCTCTACCGCCCATCCCTGTTGCCGCTCAGCCTCAGCCGTACTATACGCACTACCGACGGGCATCAGATAGCTGTCTCCCACCTGCTGCCTGGGTGTCGTATCCGACACTGGTCCAACCGGTCGCGTACCCATCGCCATTCCAATCAGCGCCCCCCAGTCCTGCGATCAACCCTCTACTGAATGGAGAGAACGCCGGAGGCCCGATGCTTATTTTCGATCTGTCCCTCAACACCTTCAGTCCGCAACGCGTCACCTCCGGCGGACAGAAGACTGGCACGCCTCTCACACTGGAGGAGCTCAGAGAGCCAGCGACACACCCATCGGTGCGGCGAATGACCATCACCTGCGACCAACTGCCCGAGTGGCCCATTGTTCTCGAGCCACACTCTACCTCACGCGAGCGGTCCCGCGAACGGTCCCCATTTCTGGGAGTGTCCCATGCGATGGCCGACGACCCCCCGATCACTGTGTACGATGTGTTGATGGCTATCCACCGCACCGTGCAGCGACAGATCTCGCATGTCGACTGGGCACGTCTTAGCCAGAGCGACATGCGTGCGGTCTCTGCTGCGTACACTCGACGCTGCCGGACGTTCCCCTCCGCAGCGGCGTTTGAGGAGGCGCAGGGTGTCCGGCGAGTCGACTATTTGCGGGACAACTACATGTTCCAGGGCCTGGTGCGCGCGAACTCGAAGGATGGTTTCTCAAAGATGAAGCTCCTAGTCGGGCCTGCGCGGTAGCCGAGCTCGCGTCTCTCAAACCTCCGGACGTATCGTGGGGACTATGTGGTTTGCGCGCAGCCGTCGTGTCAGCCTCCTTGCCTGTTTCGACCAGGCGCGCTGAGATCGCTTCGTTGGGACACTGGAACTCGGGCAGAAGGGTCTTCTTCTGGACTATTCGGACTTCCTGCGTCTCACTCTACGTATCATATGTGTCTATCGGATCACCTGGAGACTACTGTGGTATTGCTTCGTTTTCGATGGCGCGATGTGTCGTGGTAGCGTAGGTTCTGCGATCTGTCACCGCTGAATCCGAACGCTGTTCAGGACACTCAGTCTACTATAGCGACATAGAATTCAGCTTGATCATACGAACCCTCGCTCCATCTCATGTGTATTCAGGGATGTAGGACTAGTACTTTGTACTCGCTTAGTTGTTGAAAGCACAGTGCTAGAAGCTTGTACGGGTAGCATATACTGTACAATCATGATGTTGGCGGGTTTACGCCTACTTAATGTAACAATAACTAGTGTGATATTGTACTGGAGCCCCGATTACATCGCCCGCCTAGCTCAATCGGATAGAGCGTCAGACTCTTACCAAGGCGGGAATCTGAAGGCTGCGAGTTCGACCCTCGCGGTGGGCTAGTAGCTTTTTTCTGTGTATCCTCCTTAGTATGTTGCTCGCTTGTTTCGAGTTTGAGCTCGTAGCATCTTTCATTCATACTGTGTATCCGCCGACTTAACGCGTCCGACGTATGCTCACCACGACTTCGTCTCTCCTCTTATCTTTTATGCACCGAGCTTGTCAGAATGACTCGGCGTGGCTTTCCGAACGATCACTTGGCGAGAATAAATGCAATTATGGGGTTAGGAGTAGCTGGTCTGCGGAGCTCCGTCATGGGTCTAGTAATTCGCGTAAACGTTAGGTCGCGCGGACCGTCTCCTTCTCGTCACTCAGTCTCTCGCTCTCACCCCCAACTTCTACCATGCCGCCTCCCCACACGGTCGCCTCCGTTTCTCTCGCATTCACCACCACCTTCAAGCCTAGGTTCATCCCGCGGCATTCGCTCTTTCGCTACAGGATGGCGAGCACTGCTGCAGTAAGTACACTGGGCAACCACTTCCGTACACATACATTGCTCACGATACCGAACGCGACAGTTTGGGCTGAAGGAAGCGTCCCTCATCCGCACACAAGGTTTCATTGACGGGAAGTGGGTTGACGCCAAAGAGGGCGGGGTCATCAAGGTCACCAGTATGTGCATCTATACCTGTACATCCTCCTGTTCTGACTCGGACGTGTAGATCCTGCGACCACTGAGGAGCTGGGGACAGTGCCGGAGATGGGGCTCGAGGAGACGAGGCAGGCTATTGAGGCAGCATCCAAGGCGTTCAAGACATGGAGCAAGACAACCGCCAAGGTACGTCCAGGCCCTGAACTTGCTTCCGACCATACGCTCGGAGCGCGCTCATACTTTGCATATGACTCCTCACAGCAACGGCATGATATCCTGATGAAGTTCTATGGGCTCATGCAAGAGCACCAGGACGACCTGGCTCGTCTCATCGTACGTCCCTCACCGGCCTCGGTACCTATACGTGACGTAACTGTAACTGGCCGCTCTATATACATAGACTCTTGAGAACGGCAAACCTCTAGCCGAAGCGAAGGTAACTCATGACCCTTATGCAAGAGTGTCTGCGAGCTGACGAAATCAAATACAGGGAGAGCATGCGTACAGCGCATCATTCATTGAGGTAAGCAATCGCATGGCATTCTTGGGAGAATTGTGAATGAACATTACTGTAGTGGTTCGGTAAGATTTGTGCTCCAGCCCAGACAATCTCAGGACTAAGACACAATTGCTTATGTAGCCGAGGAGGCCGTCCGCACATACGGAGGTTCGTGGTTATAACTTATGGATTGCCTAGATGTTTTTAACGTGTTTATTGCAGAAGTCATCCCGTCACCATTCCCTCATCTCCGGAATGTTGTGATCAAGCAACCTATTGGTATGTGTCTAGCCATACTCTGTCCGGCCAACATATATTAATCGACTGAACAGGTGTCGTGTACGTGATTCACCATATGGTCCTAGGATGGTCACATTCAAACCCAGTCCAGTTCTATCTTGACGCCTTGGAACTTCCCTTCGGCCATGATCACGCGCAAGCTAGGTGCTGCACTTGCCGCAGGTTGCACTGCGGTCATCAAGCCTCCACCTGAGACACCCTTCTCTGCGCTTGCGCTCGTCGAGGTGCGAGATTCCCCTCGTGTGTGTGCGATGGCACGTTGGGGTTGAATGTGGCCTGTTTTCAGTTGGCCACGCGTGCAGGCGTGCCTCCTGGTGTAATCAACGTGGTAACGACACAGGCAAACGTCTCCGATGTTGGGCGCGAGATGTGTCAGAACACTGCTGTGAAGAAGGTCTCGTTCACTGGCAGCACACCAGTAGCGAAGATTCTCTATGGACTTGCTGCGACGACCCTGAAGAAGTATGTGATTTCCCTACTAACCTTCCCAGCGTCTAACTGACGTGATTCTGTCTTGTAGAGTGTCTATCGAAGCTGGAGGGAATGCGCCATTTATCGTATTTGATGATGCGGACATCGATGCCGCCGTTGAGGGTACCTGTTCAGAATTCTTTGAATCACTACTTGTTCCTCACGATTCATTATTGCAGGTGCTATCGCATGCAAATTCCGAGGGACAGGACAGACTTGCGTCTGCGCCAATAGGATCTACGTGCAATCATCCGTGTACGCTGACTTTGCTTCTCGACTGGCTGAGCGAGTCGCGGCGTTCAAAGTCGGCAATGGCCTGGACAAGGATACGTGAGTCTGAAAGCCTCATACGAGTCCGATAATGTGTCATGATTGTATACCTATCCAGCACTCACGGTCCGCTCATTCACGACCGTGCTGTCGAGAAGGTTCAACGACACGTTGACGACGCGCTCGCGAAGGGCGCGCAGCTCGTACATGGTGGCAAACGTCTCCCAGGCGCCGGCTCATTCTTTGCGCCGACGGTACTCTCAGATGTACCTGCCGACGCGCTCGTGAACCAGGAGGAGACATTCGGCCCCCTCGCCGCGCTTACGCGTTTTGAGACAGAGGAAGAGGTCATCAAGCTCGCTAACGACACGCCTGTCGGCCTTGCCGGATACTTCTTCTCGCGCGATGTCGGACGTGTCTGGCGCGTGGCAGAGGCGCTGGAAGTTGGCATGGTCGGCACGAACACAGGTGTGATCAGCCAGGCCGTCATTCCTTTTGGTGGGGTCAAGGAGAGCGGACTCGGTGAGATTCTTGTTCCAGCTGCACCGCTGCGAACGTGCGCATTTACGATGGTTGCAGGTCGCGAGGGTGGCCATGGCATTGAAGAGTACATGAACATCAAGTTTATCGCCTTTGGTGGCCTTTGAGGAGGCGTGGGAGAAGAAACCACACTAACAGAGCGAGCGAGCACATTACTTCGGCTTGCGTATGTATACTGACTTGCTTAAGCGATTGGATGTATCACTATGCACGTTGCAAACCCGCTTGTGTTACTCTTCCCAGCCATGGATCGTAGCGGGTCCAAGTCGAACCCGACGGCAGGCGAAGACGCCCGAAATCCTTGTTCTTGCTCCTGAGCGCCCATCCATACCGACCTGTGGATGCACACGCGGCACAGCTTGACCTTTGCGACAGGTACCGAACCTAGCGGCAAATCGACAGAGCCATATGTCGGAGCTGCGTGCCCAGACGAGGATGGATCTAACTCATATGCGTGACGTGTCTTTGTTCCTCCATAGGACTTGTTCCCGCTCCAGGTTCCTCGTCATCGCCTCGCGTAGAATACAAGGACGACTTGACTGATCAACGCGTGTCCCACCGCGGACCATCGCCGCGTCAAATGTCAACTCCGTAACAACCTTGTGTGCGTCGCGACTTACGTCCCACAGCTACGGGAAGTGGTATAAGATCTAAAGGGCAGCGAAATCGCAGTACACCACATCCTCGCGGAGTCTCTCAGCTGGAATATTTCTCCGCCCTTTATATCTCCGCAGATCTGTTTGGCTTGTAGGTATGTACGCAGGTCTCACTCTCGCTCCTCGATGCGGCGCTGGCTATTATTGGCTACCCAGTCCGATGGTACTCATTTTGCTACGCAGGAGAACAGGTGCACTTAGGCGTGACCATGGATAAAGTGCTGCAAGCGTTACGTGTGGCGAAGACGACATTGGACCTGGTTCCCGTTTCGGTACCTGGGCTGGGTCCTGCTGTTGAGCTTGCGGTGAATATACTGGAACTGGCGCAGGTACGTTGGAACAACTTGATATGTATGCGCGTTCACACCGGACTGGCCTTCAGGGCGTCAAGGACACTCACGATGACTGCAAGTCGTTGGCTATGCGGGCTGCTCAGTTCACAAACGACATATATCAGCAGCTGAACGATAGCCCCGCAAGTGTCGATATCACGAGCAGCAAGAGACATCTCGCGACGTTGCTCTGGTGAGCAACTACTTCGGTTACCCTCTCATCCTCCCGGGTCATTCATAAACTCGACAGCACACTACAAGACATTGAGAACCTCATGAAACGCCAGTCAAGGAAACGAGAGAAGATACTGCTGATTGTTCGAAAAGACAAAGTCAAGCAGCAAGTCGCGGAACTCCACAGACGGTTAGACGACGCCTGTCGCTTGTTCGGGGTAAGGACGCTCCCTCGCGTATAGCTCTGCAATTTACTGATATCACATTCTCTCAGATCCAATCTTCTATAGCCGTGGAAGGGCGACTCGACCAGATCGCCACTACTCAAATTGATCTTGTACAGCATGCGGAGAATTCGACCCGAGTGGCAGATACCATGCTCAAGCGCCAAAACTCTATCAAGCAAGAGGTTGCCCAGATGAACGAGAACATCATCACGCTCATGCGCTCTGTCACCGTGAGCCAAGAGGGCGGAATGGCAGGTCGTACTCTTCTCCTCATCTCGCCGGAATTCTGACAGGCTGCGGTAGATGGTATTCAGCAAGGAGGAAATCAGCCTGGTGCGGGAGCTCGACCCTTCTCAGGAGGCTGCTACGTACGAAGAAGGTGTGCCGGAGAGCGAGCGCATAGTGCGTTGGCAGGCTCGAATCCGAAGCACGAAGGAGTCCGTCATTGTCGCAAAGTTTCCGCGCCGGGACGAACGATTCCGTGCAGCCATCGAGCTTTCGAAGAAGACGATGTGAGTACTGGTGTACCGGAAATCTAGGACGTCCTGATCGTTGTCTTCGTAGGCATCCCCACGTTGCCCAGATCTTAGGGTTCTCGAGGTCGGATTGTGAACACGCCTTCGTCGTGCTCGAGGGGTTACAAGGTGGGCCCTATTTCTTTCTAGGCCTGTGATTCCTCTGGTGGAGTGCGTCTTGAACCCGTCCCCCACTAAGCTCATGCGGGCGTGGCGTGGGAGTACGTAGCGCACTTCATGAACTCCGAGGGGGAGCGTGAGGCCCCAAAGTGGACACGAGCCCTACCATTTACACGGCGCATTGATGACGACAATCTTCTATTATCACAGATCAAAGGCCGATAGAGGACTTCATACAATCTGTACATGGGATCAAGAAGTACATGTGGACGGCCGAAGTGGTGAGCCCAACTTCCGATGCACGC